AGTGCAGTAAGGGGAAGGGCAGTGAAAAAGAAAACGGTAGGCCAGGGCTGAAGCTGCCAGAGGGAGAGTGGCTCTGAGGTAATGGAGGTCCACCCCAGCCATCTCCCACCTGGGGCAGCACAGGTTGGCATTCCTATGCTTGGCATGGGCTTGGGGGCAGTTCACAGGCAGCCTTCTCATGCTCAGTCCCATGCAGCCAGCATTGAGGGCAGGGCTGCAGGAGCAGGGGTTGAGGAAGGGCCAGGATGCCGGGGAGTGCAGAGACTACAAGGAGTCCTGCAAACCCTGGAGGCACCACCCGCCCCCAGCTTCCGGAGAGCAGCAAGCTCCCTGGACATCTCTAGGCCGGATCTTAGCACTTAACCCTGTCCTGTGATTGTTCTTGGCTCTTCTGCCTTTGAGCCTTGCACAACGTGCCCCCTCCCGCTCCCGCCACCAGTGTTCTTGGCAGGCTCAGAGGATTTCTTCCTCTCTCCTCTCTGTGACTTAGGCTTTCCCAAGGCCATTTCATTTTCCAGGTCGTTGCATTCCTGAAAAGGAAGCAAGATTCTCCCCGTTTCTCAGATTTCATGGGACAGAAAGCCTCCTGTCCCAAGGCAGGGTTGGAGAAGAAACCCGAGGAAGTCAAGGTCATCCAGTCATTGGCAGGACTCTGCCTCCACCTTTCCCTAGGGGCCAGTGGAGCCTTGCGAGGCGGGGCTCCCTTACTGGCAGGGGTCCCTCTCTTCTTGGCGGGCCATCTGACCAGCCCCAATGGTAGGTGAACCTGGGTGGGGGACAAGAGGCGGGGCTGGGCTTAGCGGGGACGCCTGACGTGCTGGACCTAGGAGCGGCCAACGGAGTCTGCTGGCAAGCCAGGTCTTCCAGGGGCCCGCGCCTCGGTCACTGCTGGGCCAGCAGTGGCCAAGGGTCCCTGCTGCGCCCCTGGCCCGCGGGCCAGGCCCCGCCTCCCGGCCGCAAAGGCGGGGGCAGGGGCGGCGCTGGTGGAATGGGGCGCCGGCGCGCCGGTGCTTGGTGCGCGCTGCCGCCCCTCCGGCCCGGCTTGCGGGCCCGCCCTCCCTACCCCCCAACTCCGGCCTGCTCTCGTCGCCCCCATGCCTCCAGTCTCTCCCTAGTCCGGCTGCCAGGTGCATCCCCACGATCGCGGCCTGGCGATCGGGGCACGGCGGTCGTGGCGCTCGAGGGTGGCTCGCAAGGCGCGGGGCGCGAAGCCAGACCTGCCGGGCGCGGCGGTTGGGGGGAGGGCAGTTGAGGACGGGCATCGGCGGAGCCCCTAGAGGAGAGCAGGGGTGGGCAGGGGGTCGCCGAGGTAATGGACAGGGCCTGGGCACACGACTGCGAAAGGCGGGGGCTCCAGGCGCACTTTGGCCCTGGCGGGGCTCGCGGCTGGACGCCGGAGGCGGCTGGAGAGCAGCTGGGCGGGGAGGGAGAGAGGGAGGAGACGGCTGGGCTGGGCCGGGGGCTTGGCCGACGGGGAGCAGGTGGGCGGGGACAGGGGCCCTGCTGGAGGAGACGCAGCAGCAGCAGCAACGAGGTGGCGGGCTGCGTGAGCAAACAGGGCGGCCGCTCCTGGGCCCTGAGAACGGTGAGGCAGTTTGGGTTGGGTGCACCAGCCCCGAGGGCACGGTTCCGTGTCCAAGGCCTCGGAGTTGGGTGCGGGGCACTGTTGGGGTGGGTGGGGGGTAATGGCTCTGGAGGCCCGATTGAGCCAAGCAGTCCCAGGAGAAGAGAGGTGTTGGGCCCAAAGTAGGAGTTGTTGGCCAGGGCGCTGGCATTGGGCAAAGGTGGGTGAGGCCAGGCCCTTGCAAGGCTGGCACTGAGTGGAAGGGGAGAAGGTGGTCCCAGAGTTTGGGAGTTTGCGCGTAATTTGGGAGTTGCCTTGTCACTGGGCGGGTGGATGAGTCATTCGAGTTTGGAGATCCCAGAGCCCGTTCCAGGCTATCCGTTGTGAGTGATGAAAATCCAAGGGCCGGGATGTTGGGGAAAGGGGCTCCGAGGTCCCGCGTGAAGGCCTCTGGGAGCCAGGTCCCGGTGCGGTGGCTCAGAAGCTCTGGCCTTGGGTGGGGTTAAGGCAGGTCTTTGTGGTGGCCACTTCCCTGCTTTCCTTCCTTGTCGCAGGCTGTGGGGAGGGGGTTAAACCTTCAGCCTGACAGTATCCCCAGGGGCATGGGGACACAGACGTGCGTGACTGCAGCAGCATTCTCTGTCGTGGAGCCCTCACGCTTCCTCACGGTTGCTATAGTAACTGCCTATTGATGGTGTATTTATAGGTGAAGAAGCAGGGCTACATTTTGGGGTGGGAGGGGGATGCGGCTGAAGGGCAGGCGCTCCAGCAGTGAAGGAGGCTACAGAATTGCTAATAGGCTGGGCAGTGCTGCTTGAGCTGTTTGGGGAGTTTCCAGCTGGGGTGTGGGGACAGAAGGCCGCACCTTGGGGCTGCGACGCCTGGGTATGCAGGCACTGAAGTCACATATGTTTGGGAGAAGCGGTGTTATGTTGTTTGGTGATTTTTTCCACACACACGAAAGTAAAAACCCCTTGCAGTTGTCTTCCATCAGCAGTCGGACCTATTTTTCTAGCTTCCTTCCTAGATCTTTCCTCATTCTTTTCTAACGCCACCACCACAGCTCCGTTCCTCTCCAGTCAAAACACCTTCTCTCAGATATAGCACACCTATACCCACGTGCACCTGAGACCCACAAGAAAACAACATTCCCTCTTTGCTCTTACAAGGGGCCACCTTTCTCAAAATGGCAGGCTCATCTGGGAACAGGCACATGTTGATGGTTTGTGGTGTTTTACTGCGGGATTTGAGACAATGCCCCTAGATGCAGTGTTTCCACAGATGGATGTCCCATCTGCTGTTTTCCTTCTGTTTTGACTTTCTCTGTGATTTATATCCTACCTGTTTGCCAGAAGGATTACAAGATGCACAAATGCACGGATAAGGCTCTGAAGACATACGTGCGCATCCACGTATATGTGCTTAAACAGCTGGGCTTGACGATATCAACACAACTTCCTGGCACCCGAGGCCAAACGGGTAGCACAATGGCTTATACAGCTCACGCATGTTGCACTCTGTTAGTTATAAAACCAGTGCTTCTGCTTGGGCCGGGGAGCAGTAGGGTGATTGTTCCCAGATGAGGAGGGCCTGGCCGGTGCTGTGGAGTATATGCTGCAGTGGGAAGGCGTGCCGTGCCCGTGGTTTACGTCCTGGCTGGATAGCTCCTGATAGGAAAACGGCTTTTGGATAGGAGCTCACGGCAGAGGCGCGTCTTCTAGTTAGTAGCTCAGTGTTGGCCACTTACATTCTTGCCTTGGTGCCATGCTGTGTGGGTCTCCAGTGCCATGAGAGGAGACGTGTTGAGTTTTGGAAAGTTTCAGGTGTGTTGCCTCCTTTTTTGGTGAAGATAAACGCAGCAGTGTGGCTGAATTTGGGCGCAGTGCCTGCCTTTGGCTGAGAACTGGGCACTGGCGGCCGTGTTTGTGTGCAGGATCTGACCTTGCAGGACAGGTGTCTAGCAGATTGCGCTCAGCCGGCCCAAGCCAGGCTGACATTTGAGATGGTGGTGATCACTGTGTTGAATGTCGCTTTTCAAGGACCGTGCTTCTTGTTGTTGGGGATTCGCTGCTGGGATCCTGACTCAGCTCTTACCTCTGCCACTTTGGATTTGTTTGACTTTGCCTCCATGCACAGCTCTGTGGGCTTTGTTTCCATTTCAGCCTCTGAGCGTCTTTCCAATACAAAGGTGTAAAGGTTTCTTGAGGAGAGTGTAGCAGGAGGATCCTTGGGGTCCTGCTCTGACCTTTTGACCAAGTCAGTGGGGTGCAGTCACACCTCTTGGCCAAGAGGGTTAGAGAGGGCCGAAGATTTTTGGGGTGCGATTTCACTGCAAGTCTGCTTTTTCTTTGCCAGGCAGCTGAGCCGCTGGAGCTGAGGCAGCAGCATGGCAGGTGAGTGCGTGGGGGCTCAGGCACAGTGATGGGGCCATGCCCAGGGGCTCACAGGAAAGGCTCTCCCTGCTCTCCTCTCCATGGCTTGCCCAGTGGTGGCTGTCCAGTTGGCAGAGTGGGAGTTTGGCTTTTCCACACAGTTCCCTTCCAGATGTGTTCACTAGTGGATATGCACCTAAGCAGACTCCCAGAAGACACGCTGAGCTGGCAGGCCGGAGTGTGTGAGACAGGGGTCTGTCTGCCAGCACAGGCAAAAGGTCCCACTAGTAGGACTTTAGGTCCCACCAGTAGCAAGAGCAAATGTCTCAGCCCAGGCCTATGGTGGTACAAAGCTCATGCCACAGTGGTCAGCCTGGTCTTAGCTGAAGTGCTCCATTTGAAATCAATACCAGTGTATACTGGTCCTTGCTGGTTTGGGGGGGAAGGCAGTCTGTGCCCAGCAGCCAGGGTACATTTCTCCATACAGACTCTGCCACCTCCCATCCCCAGAAGTATTTTTCGGTTCTTTTGCTCAAAGTCCCCTGATCTGCCCCAGCCTGGCTTTGTTCCAGGTTGTCCTGAGCGAGCTCTGGGGCTCCCAGGTCACTCCACTCTGTGGAGGTCTGTTGCCCTGCTAGTCTTATGGGATTATCTAGTACTGCAGCCACCAGTGTCGCCCTCCAGAAGGCACAGATTCGCCTGGCCAGGGCTCCGATGAGTCCGTGACGATGCACAAGGTGCCGCTCGGAATTCCTGGATGGTGATGCTGCTCAGACTTTGTGTCCTTGCTCCTGGGCAGCATACACTTCCTTCTGAGTTGCCACTTGTTTCCCTCCCCATTACCAGGGACTTCGTTGGGTCCAGGGCGATCTAGAGGAATAGCATGGTGTGTGAGAGCAGTAGCCCTTTGCCCCTGCTGCAAATGGCTTGCCCTGTCTTATGGCCTGGAGCCAAACATCTCACTTTCTGTCTGTGACTGAGCCTTCGTGTCTGGGCCAGCCACTTTCAGAGAAGGGCCTGCGCATAGTCCTGTACCAGGCCTCAGTACAGCCTTCTCTTCAGTGTTCCTGGGAGCCAGGAGCGCTCACTCGGTCCTGAAACGGTTCCCTCGTGCCAATGAGTTCCTGGAGGAGCTGCGCCAGGGCACCATCGAGCGGGAGTGCATGGAGGAGATCTGCAGCTACGAGGAGGTCAAGGAGGTGTTTGAGAACAAGGAGAAAACGGCATGTATTACCACCATGGCGCTGGGAGCGGGGAGCGGGAGGAGCTGCAGGGACCATGCTTCCTCAGAGGTGTTGGAAGCAAGTTTGGAGAGGCACCACAGCCTCTTCCCCAGGACCCCTGTGGCCTGAGAGGGAAATGTCCTGGTCCTGTGGTGTGTCCTGGGTGCTCCACAAGCATCCCGGTGGCTTGCAGAGGTCCATGGCACGACGAGGACTGGAAACAGCCTCTCCCCCAGGCTTGCTGCATGATGGGCCCGTGGGCTTTGGGGACATCTGCAGTGCCCCTCCTGCCCATTGTGGTGAGCCTCCCTTCTTATGTTGCAGATGGAGTTCTGGAAGGGGTATCCCAATGCCGTGTACTCGGTTCGGGACCCGTCGCAGAGCTCGGATGCCATGTATGTGGTGGTGCCCCTTCTCGGGGTTGCCCTGCTGATCGTCATTGCTTTGTTCATCATCTGGAGGTGCCAGCTGCAGAAGGCGACCCGCCATCACCCTTCGTATGCACAGAACCGGTACCTGGCCAGTCGCGCCGGGCACAGCCTGCCCCGGGTTATGGTGTACCGGGGCACTGTGCACAGCCAGGGGGAGTGGCCAGGGCCCCGTGAGGCTGCGAGCAGCCCGCATGGGGTGCAGGCGCCCGGTCGTGGGGCAAGAGCCACAGTCCGGCTGGAGAGCAGCCTCTGCCTCCCGGAGCTCGCTCTCTCCAGACTGTCCAGTGCCACCCCACCCCCATCCTATGAGGAAGTGACAGCACCCCAGGAGTGCAGCAGTGAGGAGGCCAGTGCGTCTTACAGTGACCCACCCCCCAAGTATGAGGAGATAGTGGCCACCAGCCCTGGTGCAGACAAGTAGTGGGGCGCTTTTCCGGGCCGCCCAAAGCCTCCTTCTGAGGCTTTCAATCTCCTTCAGAACTTTCAAGAGACTGTGCCACCACAGAACAGCCTTAGCCTCCTTGTTGCCAAATAATTCCCCAGCCGTGGATGTTTAGAAAACCAGTTTTCAGAGATAGGTGGGAAGAGGTGGGGGCAGGAAATGTGTGTGAGACAAAGGCCCTCCATCTGCACCCCCCCAACTCTGAAAGAGGTTCAGACCCTAGAGTCCAGCCCTTCCAAGAAGCCGCCCAATCAAGCGCTCCCAGCAGGGTCTGGCTTCTTCTATGCCAAAGGGACTGCCTTCATTGTGTTGCTTGCAGTTCAGGTTCATAGCCAGTGGGGCTGTGTGGGCTGAGAACTTGTGGGTGTCTGGGTGCTTGGGCCAGGTGCTTAGGGAAGGAATTTGCCCTTCAGCTCCCCTGCTCCTCTGGTTTGTGCTTTCTGGTCTGGCCCACGTGGTGAGGATTTGGGCACGTACTGAGCAACAAATAAAGCAAGAATTAACACAGAGACACAAAGAAGCACCACAGAACAGAGCAGTGCCACCTGGGCTTCACAGGAGGTGCTGGGTCATAAACTGCACAGCTCTGGGGCTGGCTTTCCCTCCGCAGCCCCCAGCTCCTCCTGACCAGGGGAAAAACCGGCGGGGCGAGGCACAAGAGGACAGTGCACGTGAAGGGTGAGGAGCAGGGGACGGGGGGGGGTGGGAGGGTGGGGCCACAAACTTTGCCATCCTGTTTCTTGTGTGTGTGACCATCCCTAGACACCCATTTATATGTTGTGCTGCCACCAACAGCCACCAGCAAGAGCACCAAAGCACTCCACTGTGGGAAAACCCAAGCTTCAGACCCTGGCAGTGTGTGGTTTGTGGCCCCCAGGCTGTGGGAGGACTAGCTGTGACAGAGAGCTGACCACTTCTCCTGGTGCAGCTGAGTATCCATAGGATTATTAAACCAATGAATCCAGTCTTCTTGGTACTCTGTTCCATGGCTTTGAACTTGTAGAGCACTTTCCTGTTTGCGAATAGTTTTGCTGAAAGTGGACTTTAGACTGACGATTTTCTTTTAATGATGGTGCCCACCTCGGGACAAGACTCCCAAGTGTCCCTTTATCAAAAAACATCAATGTCTTGGTAAAGGACCCCATGCCGGGGACTGAAGGGCCAACTGCACTTTGCTGTGTCACTGGTAGGCACTGGTCTGTCTCGGACTGCACTGGGGCAGAGGAAGCCTGGAGGTTCACTGCCGTTCGCTGAGCGAGAGATTTTATTGGTCTCCCCCATCCCCATTCCTCCTGGTCCTCTCGATAAACCATCTCTCCTCTGTTGGTGCTTTAAAGACTGTAGCAAATTGTTGCAGGGCCCCAAAGAGAAAGAGTCTGTGTCAGTGGCAGCCACAGCAGTTTCAAAGACATCAGGTCAGCAGGCTTGGGGACCCATTTCTTGAAGGGAGCCCTGCTTCAAGGCTACAGATGCCTTCCAGAGCCCTTCCAGGGCTGGAGACTGTCCCCAGCATGTGTTCCCAGTGTGCAGGCCGGTGCTCTCCACCTGGTGGTGGCGAGGTTCCATCCTTCCCCACAGGCTAATGTCCAAGGAGTGCTGGAAGACCAGGGAGCCAGTGGCAGGTGCCTTTAGGAAGATACTTCTGGAACTCTGTGTGTTCTAGAACAATCTTCAATGAGCTTTCACATACCCCTGATATTGAGTCTCAACCTGGAGAGCCAATCTTCTGCCAGGTGAGCTTTTCCATCACATGGGAACCTTCTCCCAAAGCAACCTGAGGCTAGAGAGCCTGAGCAGATGGCATTCCACATTTCCTTTGTTTGTCTTTCCCTCTCTGCCCTTCCTCACAAAAGGATTTGCAGCCTAGAGGACCTCTGTTTTTTCCATGATGAAGGCTGGGACCAGTGTCATTCAGCCAGATCGGAGGGTGTGAAGATGCTGGAGACTCTAGGGTCACCTCGACTCCTGCAGCATGTTCTTGAGCAGGTGCTTGAGTGTGAGCAAGTGAAGGAGGAGACAATTACTTCAATGTACCTCTTTCCAGGGAGCAGAGAGCTGGCCTTGGGGTCCCACTGAGCACAGATAAAAGGAATGTGCCCCGACTGTCCCTTGCCTTTGGCATCTGTTGAGTCCTACTTCCCTACCACATTTATGGGTAGATGGAAGCTGGTGGTGACAGGAGACAGCGGAAAGCAGAAGTCTGGAACTGATCTGTGAAGGGCAGCCTGTGTCCTTCAAGGCCCCAGACTGAGCTGGAGACAGTTCTGGAAGGCCCATGGTCTCTAGTTGAGGTGCTTCACAGCGTGCTTGCAGGAGGTGTGCTGTGGCCTCTGGGCTGGGTTTCATGTTCTCTGTTGAAAACAGACCCCGTGGCACACAACGGACGTAACTCCTTGCGGTGCACATTTCGCTTTTACCGATGCCCTGTACATACCTTTTCAAACTCTGTATGGATGTTGATTTGATACAATGCTAACTCTTCAGGAGGAAGCTTTTTGTTATTTTTGGATGTGTCTGTGTGTGTATGACGTGAACATGTTGCCTTTCCTCATTGCTTATCTGAAACAAGTCAGTCTGTGACTGTGTTTGTCCCAGGACAGATCCGGTGTGCGGAGGAGAATGTAACCTCCCAGGACTGGGCAGCCTGGCGGGGCCTGAGCGGAGACCAATGCAGCGAGCTCCTAAAACTTCTCTCTCTCACCTCTCACAAAAATCCTCGGAAGCAGATGAAGCAGCTCCAATCTGTGGAGCCCTGCCCTGCTGGGACCCAGGCTCAAGTCCCCACGCCTCAGCTTCTGTTCTGTGGTGGTCGGTAGCTGAAGGAAATCCAGGCATTCCTGGGCTGTGTGTGTGTGTGTGTGTGTGTGTGTGTGTGATGTGTGGCTAACTGAGACTGACAGGGTGTTTCCTGTTGTGAAGAAAAAAAAAAAAAAAAGAAAGAAAAGGCTTTCAAACATTTCTTGAAAGGCTGACTGTCACTTGTTTTCAACCAAAAAATTTTTAGAATTTTTTAAAACCAGAATTGCAGTCCTGTCCCTCCGTTGCTCCCCATTTGCCTTGGATTTTCCAAATGAAAGCACAAGAGGAAGAGTGAGGTGCACAGGTGCCTGGTGAGTGCACCCCTCAGCGCAGCTGCCCCCTCGAAGTCGGGGCGTTCGCTTCCACCTGCCATACCCACTGCCATTAGTGTAAACCCTTTAGGGTGCTGTGCAAGACAGGAATCTGCTGGGTCGGCTGGCTGTTGCCTTTCTGGGATCCCAAATGGGATGGATTTGGGACAGGAAAGTGTCATTCCGTGCAGTGGTGGGGGCCAGTGCTTCCCCTCAGTGGATTTTGATTGCCATGCGGTATTCTACAAGAAGCAGGAAAGCATCAACACTGCCTCTAGATTGTTCTTTGATCCGAGAAGGAGAAACAGTAGAGAGACTGACTCCCTGAGCTGCGATTTGTCCCTCCTGGCCAAGGTTGAGAAGGAGAGCTGGATGAGCAAACTGCTACTCTGGGCTGCCTTTCTGCAGTCAGGCTCCATTTCCGGACTAGGCCAGTTCTGAAACAAGCACATTTCCGCTCTCCCCACCCCGACTGGTACTGAACTCTACCAGTCCTCATGGCTATCATGAGCTCAGTTAAACCTACTGGAGTCCCACAACAACTAAAGGAGAAGTCCAACCATCTGAAGTTCAGTAATTCGGATCATTCATGCAAGTTTTGGCTACATCAGGATTATTGGGAGGAGTCTCCATTTGAGGCCATTTCAGGGTGTCACGTGTCAGAGGAACATGGTTGAAAATGAGCACCCTGTTCCCAGAAAAGGCTCCGGGTCCTCAGGATCCCTTCACTGTGCCTTCAGCTTGCGGTTCAGCAATTCTCACATGTAAGACTCCTTCCGCACAGGCTGAGTGTTTGTTCTCTCTGTCGTGTGACGTTGGGCACCAAAGCCTTTCATTTGAGTCCTGTATCTGTCTACATGACATAGTTTGTGAACTCAAGTGCAATTCAAAGTAACTCAAGTGTGTCTCTAACTCTTCTGTGAAGCAGGTGTTTCGCTATCAGACTAGGCCACTCCCATCACTTGCCCCCACAGACTCCTGCTTTGCCTTTCAAGTGTTGTGGGCAATGAGTGTCTCTCAAGCAACATTTCCCTGGTGAAGGCACACACACAGCACAGCTCCTTGCACTCCATGCCTCGCCAATTGCTTCCCTGTCCTGATACCTGACCACTCAGCAGTGCCTGCCCCCAGGTCATCCCAGGCCCGAGCAGTAGCACAGATGCCCAGGAGGGCAGCACATCCCCAGCTGCTCCTGTCTCCAAGTCTGTCTTCCCTCCCAAGCTTGAACACACCTGCTCCGTCACAGCTGCAACTGTGTAACAGTGGGGATGCTGATTGTGCAGCTGAGCTTAGTGAAACGAAAACTGAAACGGATTCATTTTGGTACCGTTTTAAACTATTCATACTCACATGTTGATTCATGCCAGCTGAGAACTCTGTGCATTCACGAATATGTCGGGATTCCACTGGTGCCTGGGGGTAACCAATAATTCGCTTGTGACATATGTGTGTGCATGTGAGTGTGTATGTGTCTCCCTCAGTCTTTATGTCTCTATCTTGTTCTCTTGTTCTCTTCTTAAAATTATTGCATATTGCTGGTGAATTTTGTCTCTTCCTGTACAAAAAATCATGGATAATAATAAAGAGCAAATGATGTCTGCTGGCATCCCGTCCTAGTGCTTCTTGGATCTCTGCTGACTACCCTACTTCCCTGGAGGATGCTGGTTGTGGCTCGGACTGTAGATAAGGAAACCCGTCCAAGCCAGTTGAGAAGCAGGAAGTGCAGATGTTGATCCCCCACCGTGTGTAAGATGATTTCCTGAGCAGCCCCTCCTCCACCCCTACACTCCTCCTCCCTGGGATGAAGTAGGGACGATTTACTACCTGATTTTTGGGTACTATCAGAGGTGCCCCTCAAGGATGCCCAGCTTGGTTTCCGAGCTGGGGCAGGGAAGGTGTGAGGAGATCATATGCTGTGCCCTGTGTAGATAGGACACAGCACTCAGTTCTTGCCCTGGTGGCACCACCTGCATTTTGAGAGTGCCAATGATCAGGGACTGCAGGGCACTGAAGTCTTCACAGTGTGAGGGGAATATAGTCTTCATCACAGAGACACTAAGATGTTGGTACAGAGCTGGATCCTGCCATGGGAAGCTTCTGGCACAACTTACGTCAACCTATAGTCATGCAAATACTCTGCTCTTTGATGGGGCAATGCTCTGACATGGTGGAGCAGGGGCAGTGACATTCTGGCTTCCTCAGAGGGTTGAATGCAGAGGCCAAAGGTCCAGAAAGTTAGCCAGAGGCCCTAGCTTTCACTGTTGTCCCTGCTGGCATAGTTGAGGGATGTCAAGCATTTGGCAACACCAGGAATTCAAAATGAAGTCTTGCCAAGCAGGCCTCAGCACATGGTTGGAGTTGTGTCCTGAACATGGACTTTTCAACTTCTGTTCCTTTTGCCAGAGATGGCTGTTTTTGGCAATGACTCACTCTCCCTGGTTAGCCCAGGCTAAGAATTTAATGCCTGGTGAGGTTCCAGGCCACCACAGTATCCCTTGGGACAGTACCCAAAGGTCCAGAGCTACCTTTTGTTTTCATCATACTCTTCGTAGAGACACACTTTCCAGGGCTGGGTGCTTGCTTGTTTTGGAGGGACAGCACAAGGGTCCTAGCCTCAATGTCACTCCAGCCCCTGCTGGGGCCCAGCCAGAGAGTCAGGCCAGTGGCTTGGCAGGTGGGCACCTTTCTGCTCACCCTTCCCTGGGTTCCCATCCTGTACCACTGGCACCATCTCATAGCAAGTGTCCTGGGACTGCTTTGGACTAAGGCGAGGGCATGGTAAGGCAGTAGAAAGAATCTGAGTGGAGCTCGTGAATGAGTACGGCAAATGGTCAGGTATGCCCTGTAGCTCCATTCACTGAGACTATCTTACCCTATGAGGTGGCATTTACAATGGGTTCTGGTTTGTTTTATTTTGTATTGTTTTAAGATTTATATTGGAAAGGCAGATTGACAAATAGAAGTAGAAAGAGACAGGAAGATCTTCCATCTGCTGATTCACTCCCCAAGTGAGGGAAACAGCGGGAGCTGAGCAGATCTGAAGCCAGGAGCCAGGAGTATCTCCAAGGTCTCCCATGCGGATGCAAGGTCCCAAGACTGGGCCGTCCTCCACTGATTTTCCAGACCACAATCAGAGAGCTGGATGGGAAGTGGAGCAACTGGGACATGAAACAGCACCTAGATGGGATCCTAGTGCTTACAAAGCAAGAATTTAGCTACTGGGCCATTGTGCTATGTCCAACAGGTTCTGTTTCACAGCCGAGGGAACTGAAACATAGCATTTGGTCAAAGGCTCACAAGAAAGAGATACTGGCCTTGTTTCCCAAACTTGCGCCTACCCTGTTTGGTCCATCGCAAGCCACTTCTGTGGCACTTCAGCTTCCCAGAACACTGGCTTTGCCTTGTGTGTGTGTGTGTGTGTGTGTGTGTTCACCATCATTCCCTGTAGTTTGCACCTGGATGTTCTCTGCTGTACTATTAGTGTCAAAAGGGCAAGGCCATGTGCTGCTTTTCTCCTCACTTCTTCCTTAGAATATAATAGAGCACCTTGCTCACAGTGAGTGTTCAGTCTAGAAAAGTGTCCATGGGTTGTAGTCTAACCAGAGTTCAAGCTGTATGTGAATTCTGGAGGCCAAAGGCCCCAGATGAAGGTGTGGGCAGAGCTTGTTTCTTCTGAGTCTCCTGATTGCTGATTTTCTCCCCATGTCTTTACCTAGTCTCCTTGTATGTGTGGGTATGTGTCGCAATCACCTCTTCTTAAAAAGATGCTAGTCACACTGGACTAGGGCCCAGTCGAATGATCTCCTTTAACCTTAACTGCCTATTGAAAGGCTCTAACTCCCTCTGAGGAATTTTTTGAACATGCAGCACAATTCAACCCAGAATGTTTGATTCAGGGGAATATCTCCCAACCTGAGCATATTGGGCATCCCTGCAAAGCAGTTGGTGGGATGGGTCTCAGGGCTGCTCTGTGGTGCTGGCAAGGACAAGGACAGTTGCAGTGCTTTCTCCCTTGCTGTAGTGGGAAGGATCCAGGGAAGCTGCCAAATGGTCTCTGAGGCAAGTGGGGCTGGCAAAAGAGAGGTAGACTTTATGAGGGTTTTCCCAGGGTCCTCTGTGTCAAGTGATGTGAGAATCCAGCACCCCCAAAAACCACAGTATTTGTGTCCTCATATGTTTCTAAAAAGCACAAAACTTCATACTCATTTTGGTGGCACATGTACTTAAATTTGGAACAATGTAGAGAAGATTAGTATGGCCCATGAACAAGGATGGCATGCATAAAACATACAGAACTTGTTATATTCAAGAATTAGAAGGGCCTGGCACGGTGGCCCAACTGCTTTTGTTCTTGTCTTGAACGTGTCGGGATCCCATATGGGCGCCGGTTCTAATCTCAGCAGCCTCACTTCCCATCCAGCTCCCTGCCTGTGGCCTGGGAAAGCAGTTGAGGACAGCCCAAAGCCTTGGGACCCTGCACCCATGTGGGAGACCTGGAAGAAGCTCCTGGCCCCTGGCTTGGGATCGGCTCAGCTCCAGTCATTGCGGTCACTTGGGGAATGAAGTAGCGGAAGGAAGATTGCCTCTCTCTCTCTCTCTCTGCAGTAAAAATAAATAAATCCTCAAAAAAAAAAATAAAAGAAAAGAAAAGAAAAAAGAAAGAATCAGAAGACTGGCAGATTCAATCACAATGACTTGCACGTTTGTCAGTTAGAAACTGACACGTTTCTAAAGAGTTCAAAATGCACAGTGGATTTCCTTTTACCAGGATTTATGTGCTATCAAAACAAGAAGTCGGTCACACTGCACAGCACAGAAACACAGTAGCTCGGCCATTCAGAGCTGGGTGATGGGTAAAGCAGGGCAGGTGCTGGCAGAGTGCATCGCTTTCCACGTCAGAGCTGTCCCTGCCTCAAGCCAGTCTGTGGAGCTCCACAGGGTTGCACTGCAGCTGCCTGGAGCTCTGGGAACAGCTTGGGTTGAAGGGAGGGGAAGAGCAGAAAACAACATATTGCAGTGCTCCAACATGAACTTTATGCCAGGAGCTGTCCTAGGGGGCTCAGTGCAGCCACTTCTAAGGCAAGCCTTTCTGAGGAAGCCAAGACCAACCACAATGAAGGCTAGAGAGACATTGTCCATGCAAATATCATGGAAGATAACCAAAGCAGGCATGGGTCCAACATGTGGAAGGGCCTGTACCCAGTCAGCATGTCACAGTGTCAGGGAAACAGGAGAAGCCAGCGTGATGCGATGGGCAAGATTAGCTCTGTGAGACAGTCTGATCTTTTGAAATCAGGATGAGCTCAGAGATCTTCACTGCTCCCAAACAATCCATTTGATTCTTTTGCAAGGGGGAGTTTTGGCTCAGGTTAAGGAGCTTTGAGTCAGCAGGTTAAGGAGAGGAAAATATCTCTGAGTTCTTCAAGGCCATGCTGAGTGTATGCTGTGGAGTGGTTTGAGTGGATCTAAGGAAGGAGGACTAGGCTGGTATGAAAGATTAAAGTTGCTCCAGTTTCCGAAAAGATGTAAGAGAAGACAGTGTGGGCCAATGGGCTTTAGGAAGAGAACTCAATGTGGAGTCCTGCAAAACCAAAGGAGGAGAGTGTTTTTAAAGGAGAGGGTGAACTGTCATGTCAACTGATTCCAGAAAGTCGAGGAAGATGATGATTTTATCAGTGAGCTTTGTCTTGCTATGATAAATTGCTATAAACAGGCTGTTAATAATGGAGGGGTTTATTTATTTACATTTTGTTTTTGATAATGTTTACATAGTTGATTATGGTGGGAGGGGTCAAGGATTAGAGGAAAGTGGATGAGACTGTTTCCACATTTTGTTCGTCTTCTTCCTGTGTCTGGGGGAAGGCTGCAGATAAGGAGAGAAGCCACAACCAGCCTCTCTACTACCCCAGCACCTGGAGAGATGGGAAACAGCCACCTGACATCATCTCAGGGTCCTGAATGTCGAGCATGTTCTGAGGGTTCTATTCAAATGGTTTCAGTAGTTCTGACACACTGTCAATTTCACAGATCCAAGGATGAGGAAATCCTTCCACGTCCATTGACTGACAGTCTACCTTAAAGTCTCCATTCACTCATAAATTTGCTGTCAAGCTTGACTGGGGTAGTTGGCCAATTTACTCTGCTCTTCTTCCTCTGGTATGATACCACATGTCCTCTGCAGGCTCCAGTGGACTGCCAAATCCTCCATGTGCATCTGGGTATACAGTCCATTGCTTTGTCCAAGTCTCTCAGGAGGCCCAGTTCTGACACATTCACTCCACTGTCAGATCACAGGTCCTGCCGTTCTCCCTATGGTTGGAGTTCTGAGTCCAGCTGTTCAGTTGGGGGAACCCTCAAAGAAATCTCATCTAATGTGATCCCAGACCTGACTCCCTGTGTGCCACATCGGCCTACACACACAGATAGTTGCAATTGCTAGGTCAGAGCTATCTCCAGCCTTGTCTCTTATGCAAAATAATGGTTACTGTGGCCCAGCCCGATCCTTCCCACTACATACTTGGTCTTCATGTTACACCATTGGAAGCTGTGGCCCAGTTAGATTGACCCTCAGTAGCCCCCACAGACCTGTCCCCCAGTTCTGGTTCCTGTGCCTGCCAGCATAGGCAGTGGACTGATCCAGTCTGTCTCACATCCCCATTCAGCTCTCATACATATCACTGGTCATTGTAGCCTAACTCAACCCAACCAACTCCACTCTCATGCCTCACTCCTCACTTATGCCAGCGGTGCCACCGTCTGTCTAGTCAGGTCCTCCTCTAGCCGTGGTTCTTATGCTCACAAGTGGGAATTGCAGTCCATCAGAGAACTACTCACAGTTTCCTTACTGGATCCATTGGCAATCCGGAAGCTTGTACTCTTAATGTGGTACTGCAGCTCAGCTCAACAGGACTTACCCCCAGTCCCAGCACTTGCCAGCTGATGATGTGGCAAAGCCCGACAAACCTGTCCTTATTCTGGCTCACACATTCATCAATGGATACAGTTAGCCTAGTCTGCCTCTCCCTAACCCAGTTCACATGCAGCCAACAGGAGCTGTACCCCTGCCTGGCCGGCCTGGTCTCCCACAGACTCAGCTTTCACTCTAACCAGCAGGAAGAGTGGCCCACCAGGGGAATCTAGGTGGGGTTTATTTTGGCTTGAGGTTTTGGAGGTTCACATCCCAAGATCAAGCAACTCACTGATTGTGAAAGTACAGGGCCTGTAGAGGAAGGACCACATGGCAAGTCAAGAAGCAGAGAGGATAGCTGGGTCAATTTTCTGCATTCCAAGTCCAGGGGCATGTCCCCAGTTACTTAAACACCTCCCAAGCACTAAAATTGAATTATGGCTTTACCATCTCACTACCCTGAATCCACGACTTTCAAACTTAACCAAAGTCAGTGGTGTGCGAGTTCAGGAACTCTAATTCTACATCCCCCCAGCAGTGACAGAAACCATCTTTACTGAAGAAACAGGAGGGTAAGAAGTAGCAGGATTTGCACACGTGAAAAGTGGAGACAGTGTACAAGATGGAGGAAACACTTTCTAGGAGTTAAGAAGGATAGTACAAAACAAAACACAAAACAATAAGGGAGGATAATCATTCACATGAGATTTATTTTCTCTCGCTCTCATTATCTATGTATATACATGTATACATTCATTCATATAATTACAACGTGTGTGTGTGTGTGTGTGTGTGTGTGTGTGTGGTCACTGATTCCTTATGTGTCAGGTAGAATACTAAGCACAGAGGAGACAAAAATACCAAAGAAAACATGGTCTTTACCTTTATGGCGTTAGTCTCCTAGGATTGCGCAAGATGGAAGGCGTGGTAGGTGTTTGTGATGAACAGGTACTCAGGACCGGCCGGCCGGAGGGGGGGCAATTATCCCTTAAAACTGGTAAGAGGAAAGGAAGGTCGTGTGGATAGAGAAGCCGTCAGGCGCTATGGCTTTTGTTAGAATGTATGGCAGAGGTACCGGACTTAGTGTTTCTGATGTGGTTACATGAGTTGTGAGACGGCGCTAGGGTGAGATTGGGGAAGGGGTGGGGTGCTGAGGAACATGGTATGTATTGGTTCGAGCGATGATATGCGCGTATCCTAATGCAGTCGATGGTGGCATGCGGTATGGCGGGTGGCACTAACTCTGGATAATGCGTTATGCGTTTTTGAGGGCAGACTCTCGTAGAGACGTCGCTTAAAGTTAATCGAGGGTTTGTGCCGCTAGTGTTAGGTGGAGATGCTGCAGGACTGAGGGTCGATTTAGCGTGCCCGGATGTAGGCGCAGTCATGTTCTGTGGCACTCAGGGAGGCGGTTTACGCAGACATGTTTGTCTTGGTTTCTGCCCAATGCCCATGTGAAGATCTGGGTAGGATGTTACAAGAAGCAGGCGAGATGCAGATTACAGGGGTCGGATGAGATGTTTTCTAGACATTCTCTGGATCAGCTCTTCTAGGTGAACGAGCCTTTTAGGTCTAGCAAGGACGCTGAATTTGACTCGATGTTAGCAGAACTGGATTGTGGTCAATTGAGTCATTGAACTGGGCCATGCCTGGACCTCCCTATCCTGGCCCCTAGCATTTCCATCTGTAAAAGGGGGACTGTTCTGAGGACCAGCCACCACCAAGCACAGGAGTACTTGCCAGGAGTGTCTTGCTTGAAAGCAATGTGCAACTCCTCATGGCTGTCTTCTCACTTTGACTTTTTGTGCCTCATTTCCAGAATCTTCCTCTGGCTTGGAGGGCTGCCTGGTGTTTATATTTCTGAGTTGATCTATACCTGAGGCTTTGCACCACTTTTTCCACCTCTTTATCTTGGTTGGCCTTTGACTCTGGCCTCTGATTCTGGTTTTGATGTACACATCAGAGTTCAGTCACTGGGCATGCAAACAATTGAAAGTAGATGCATTTCCATTGAAAGCCAAAGGTTCTATGAGGACACCTTGCCTAATCCCCGTCCTGAGCTTCAGAATGAGGCTGGTGCAGACAGGGACTACAGGTGCCTGTGCCAGGAAGGAACTACCCCCTCTGCCATCCTGCAGCTCCTGGGGATTGCACCTCCTCCGCAGGACAGTCATGAGTTACCTGCTGGACAACAACCAGCAGCAGTTGCCCTAAACGTCCAGCATCATGGTCTGAGGCAGCCCACTTCTCCAGGGACACACTTGAGGTGTGGTTAAGGAGGAACCACAGGGGCAGCAGGATGATTTCTGAGCACCCAGGCTGAGGACTGGGGTTTCAGGCAGCGCTTAGAATATTGGTGAGTGTGTGCTGCCTGTTGGTCTGCAAATCAAGGCTGTGGC